GCTACGCTGATGTGACCCCCCTCGTCTTTTTTTTTTTTGAAATGATGGGGATCTTTTTGGTTTATGTTGGATTTGTTTTCTTTTCCGTTTTATATGTACAGCAAGGGCTTTCTTCTCAAGGTAAGTCTGCGCTCATCGGCAGATGTGCATTTGCTTGTGCTGTGCGTGTGTGTGTGTGTGTGCGCGTGTGCGCGCGCGCGCGTGTGTCTTCTCCACATTCAAAGAATAGCCAGGCAGATGTGGTGAGGTTCTTAGCTAGTCAACAGAGACCCCGCGTTCTGTTCGGCATTTTTCTTTAAAGTTTATTAAATAGTAGCCATGCTCGATTTGTGACGGCGAGGTGGGTTTCTCGGTGAGCACAAACACAGGGCTGTGTGATGTGTGTGTGTGTGTGTGTGCAAAGGGTAACCACTCATGCATACAAAATCATCGCGAACAAACAGCTGGGGAGAGGGGACTCTCCATGGCTGGCCCTCCTCTTCGACGTGGGCAGTATGCGCTTAGAGTTTCCTTTCTCTGGGGGCCGTGTGACTTCGTTTGCATGTGTGTTTATCAAAGGACAGTCCCCTCCGAGGACCCATTTTTTAAAAAAGGCACGATTTGCGTTGCAAGCAGCGGCAGCCTGCAGGATCCAGTTGCTCGGGACTTAGCAGGCTGCGGCTGCAGTGACCATTTCAGCGCTATGAGCAGATCCCGTCTCGGCTGCCACAGGACTGCATCACTCCTCCAAACCGAAAATGCCGTGTCTTCCTTCCTTCCGGCTTGCCCAGAAAAGTCCTTTTCAGATCCAGAATGTCTCCCGAACGTCTCCCGTCTCCTCTGAGTGTGAATACAGTTCCACTGCAGGCGAGATCACGCGGGGATTTCATGACATTTTTGAAAAAGAGACGCCGATGGTGACTCGCTTTAAAAAAGTGGGAGCAAAGTGCAGCCAGCCTGATTCAGCCCTTCGGCCCCCTCGATCCCCTTCCCCGTAGGTGCGCATTGTAGTGTGCACTTCCGTCAGCCACAGAGCCCCCCCCCCCTCCAAGACTTTTAGGGCAACCTCGGCTCCTCGTAGACTGTCCCTTAGTCAAGATAAGAACAGCCATCCAAGGCATTGCATGTTTGAGAAGTGCCTTTGGGAGACAGGGAACATCTTTTTCTTTTCCGAGTTTCACCATGACTCCATGAATCTTGCAAACTAGCCGTGCCAAGGTTGGTAAAGAGAAGGCTGGCGGGGGCGGGGGGTCCTCTCGTGACTTCTTTAGTCTGAACAGTCAAGCCAAGATGTGTGGTTCTTGCGTCCCATGGTGCATGACAGTTTACAGTACAATGCTTGATGGGAACAAACAGGAAGGTTAATTTGGAATTTGGAAAGGAGGAAATACGCGCAGCTGGCAAAGGGTGCAACTTGTTTCACTGCCTCGGAATCGCAATTGCCAGCAGCCGTTTTGATATATCAGGAAAAGTGCATTTTGGCAGATAATCGTGACCCGTTCTCTGTTGCATGAAACACGCAGTGAGTCATAGATTGTGTAGGAACTTGGAGGCAAGAGGCTGTCCTCGTCTACCCGTTTGACAGATTCGTCTAAAATGTACTTCAGTGAATCCCTCAGTACGTTTCGGGAGCTACTGCAATCTGACAAAAGGCATTGGTACCTAACTGCACATCTTGGCTCACAGAGGGGAGTCATTGGCAAGCTCGTTAACCTTTCCACTATCTGGACTCGATCGGCAACAAAATGATTTCGACATGATGCCAAAAATAAGACAAGAGGCAAAGGAAAAGGGCTTGGGGGAGCCAGGCAAAGTCTGCGATGGCACAGAAGGGTTTTTGTTCGGTTTCCCGCCCCCTCCAATCCCCCCATCAACTCCTAGGGACATGTAGTGCGCCCCTAAGAGACGCTGGCGAGAGTGGTGTGGATATTCCAAAAGGGTGCATTTCTGTTTTGCAGCAAAATTTACTGAGTTTCCGCGGAACGTGACGGCCACCGAGGGGCAGAATGTGGAGATGTCCTGCGCTTTCCAGAGCGGCTCCGCCTCGGTGTACCTGGAGATCCAGTGGTGGTTCCTGCGGGGGCCCGAGGACCTGGAGCCCGGGGCCGACGTGGCCGGGGCACAGGTAGCCGAGTCGCGGTGCCCGCATCCGTCCCCTCGCGTCCGTCCCACCCGCGGGCTTAGCCCGTCGAGTGTCCAGCGGGGGGCGGGGCCCGGATGGAGCCTGGGGACCCAGCTGGCGCTCTGCGTGTGGATGGCGCCCAGGGGGTGAGCATGTGCCCTGGGCACACACCACGTTAAAACCAAGGGGAGGCATGTTGTCCAGTCTTAGTCCAGGAATAGCCTCCTCTTTTTAATACTATTACTGTCAGCTGCCCGTGATGACACTGCTGTGTTGTCACACACACACACACACACACACCCGCTCTGGACACTCGCTGTCCCCTTCAGGGAGGGTAAGATGGGGGGCAGGAATTCCGTCGGGGTCTCCATCACCCCTAGCCCCCACCCGCGTCAGTTTCCTCTCGCGTCAGTTGTTGGTAGAGG